TGTCTTTTGCAGGAAATACTTAACTAAAGGATAGTGTTACTTCTAGTCAAGGTAATTTAGGAACCAATTCTCTCTGTACCTCATTTTTTATTAGAATCAGGCAATGTTAAAATACAATGTGATGCCACGAAGTTTTATTAATGATTGAGGCAATACCTGAGGGGAGAGTCAGGCAGAATAGCAGGGGTAATTTCCCATGATAATCTTCAATGAAGAGAAGAGGGGGAACAGACAGGAAGAGAGAAAATGGAGAAGTTTTGTCTGATACATACAAAAGGATTTCTCCTGAAGATGGAAGAACAGAGCATATGTTCTCATGGTGTCTCTTTCCGGAATCCCTTCTAAAAACAGAGAGAATGTCTTTATTCTAAGCATAGATGGACAGTGCAATAACACTTTTGTTTCTTTAGACTTAGGGCTGAGTTCTTTCATAACATATGTCATCTTTCCAGCTATGGTACCCCTGGGTAGAAGCAGTGGCTTTTGGCATCCTCCTGTTGATCTCCTTCCAGTTTTCGTCTTGTGAAAGATGCTGCTGACTAAGGTGGAGGTCATTGTCTGAATGTCGAGTTAAATAGGCCATGGGAGCTACATGCATAGTTAGAAGTCATGTCTTACTATAATCTTTGCAGGTCAAGAAGTGTCTTCACCTGAGGGAAATACAAGTGTCCTCAGACTTTGGGTAGGAAATGGGGTGGGACAATCCATAGATGTTTCTTAAGTATGATATAATTCAGAGGAGTTTATATTGTGGAAAGCCCAGGGGGGACTCTGAACCCTAGAGTTTAGAAGAAAAAGGACTAGAAAGTAGTGAGGAGAATTTTGAATAGTGAGATAGAAAAGAATGTTTTTCTTTCTCACTTCCTGGCCAGCTTGCCAAATATGCTACCAGTGGTCATGGTCAGAGTTGAGCACTTCTAGATTGCTGACCTGTTACTGAAAATATTGAAAATCCAGAGCTCACTCCTGGTTCTTGCAATGTCCTTGGCAGTCTACTTTAAACCTGAATGTAGTGTGCATACACACATACCCCTTACCAAGCAATGCATCTAACAATGCCAGAAGCCCCTCAAACTTCTCCCTGCATCTGGCTACATGTGCTCCCATCTCTGAACAATAACACAACAAAAACAGAACTTCAACCAATACATCTAATAATAATCAAACTCAGACAATCTCTTCTCAAGGGAATTCCCAATGAATCAAATACAAACAGACAGACCAATGAGACCTAAACTGGTTGTGGATGCATGTTAGGCAAACTGTGTTGTTCAAGTGAACTTTTAGTCACAGTCCCTTATTTACCATCTTATGCCTGTGCATAGTTGGGTGTGCATATGATGGAAATGAGAGGCATATGGGAAGGGACAGACACAGTGGGAAAAATGAATGTATGACTTAATATGTCATCTAAAAATTAAAAAACAACTCCCTTCACTATGTTCTTCTAAATTCCACTGGAATTCCAAGAGTATTCTTCCTTGTGGGGCCTTCTGTTGGTCTTGGCAGCATAAATTATACTCTATAAATTATACTATCACTTAGCTACAAATAAAATTATCTTGTTTGTTTTGCAATCTGTGTGAACACTTAATTCTTTCAATAAGTGACCAAGAAACTGGTAACATCCAACCTAGACCCCAACCACATTCAGTAATAATACTTCATAAACACACACACACACTCACACACAAAGAATGACAACTATAAATTCCAGGGCAGCGGTCAACACAGTCTAAGCAAAACTAAGCTTAGATATTGTCATTCCTAAGCAGAGCATAATTTGTGTAATTAATGGTAGTTAATTAATTAGGGTCAAATAATAGATTAACTTTCTGTATTCTGTTTGCCTTTAATATTTAGAACATTCCTTTCTGAAAGGTTCCGGTTGAGAGAGTTTGCACTTGTAAATGAATGGAAATATGCTCCTTAACTCTCTAGAAAATATTTACATAGTCAGAACATTAGAAACTGCACCAACAGGTTTCCAATTTTTAAAATCAACTCAAAATTTAAGAATTTCATAACCAGATCTATGAACTGCAACATCAGAATTATCTGGAAAGTTTATTTTTAGAAAGATTCTCAGATCCCACCCTAGAGATTTAGTGCAGTGTGTGTCTATGTGTGTGTGTCTATAAGAATAGCAGTTTAAACATTCTTTTCAAGTATATGTTGAGTGATATTTGTCTTAGTTGTTGTCTTAGTATTTCCATTGCTGTGAAGAGACATCATGACCACAGTATTTAATTGGGGCTGGTTTACTTATCCATCATGGCATCATAGGAAGCATGGCAGTGTCCAGGCAGACATGTTGCTGGTGATAGAGCTGAGAGTTCTACATCCTGATCCACAGGTGACAGAAGGAGCCTGTGTGCCACACTGGGTGTAGCTTGAGTATATATGACCTCAAAGTCCGCCCCCACAGTGACACACTTTCTTCACCTCCTAATAGTGTCACTCCCTATGGTGAAGCATTCAAACACATGAATCTATGGAGGCCAAACCTATTCAAACCACCACAGTTGTTATATTATCCAAGATTCTCTAGAGAAACATAAATGAGAGAATATATGCATATTAAATGAGAATTTATTAGACTGGTTTACACAATATGGCTGGAGTTGTCCAATACCATCTGTATCATACCATAAAAGCTGAGAAACCAATAGTTTCTCATTCCACGAGGCTAGATCCTCAGCAGTCCCGATATGATATTAAAGGCATGGAGGATTCCTAGAAAGTTTCTGATCTTCAGTCCATGTTTGAAACCCAAAAAGCAAAGTAATCAGCAGTAGCAGCAACAAGGTCCATGAATGTGCCTACAAGAGTGACAAAAGCAAATCTCTTCTTCCTTCATGGCCTTTGATCTGGGATTTCACCAAACGATGCCACCCACATTTAGAGTGGGACATCCCACTGGAAGTTATATGACCCAGAAATACCCCAATGAATGCCTAGTTCCAGACCTAGCCAAGTTGACAATCCAGACTAGCCATCGTGAGACAAGTCTCTGGGCAAGATCTTAAGGATATTTCCAATATAAATTAAGTCAGTAGAGAAAATCTTCTCCCAGACTACACAGTACCTCCTATATATAAAGAGGTCCACGAAAACTGCTGCTTTTGTCTGCTCATCTTTACTCCTTGCTGACCAGTGCATCTACTCTGTTGCTGCTATTGCTCCTGCAATTTCACAGTGATCTGGAAGGCTAGCTTCTTTGGCCTTCTGAGGGCCTTCAGCTGCACCCTGCAACGCTGACACATTCAGCTTCATTGACTGAGCTGCTACCAGGTTCTCAGGCTTTCTACTGTGTACACATTGTTGGATTACCCTGCTGATATTGTGTAAACCAGTCTAATAAATCCTGTAAAATACATATTCATTTTATTAGGCCTGTTCTTCTAGAGAACTCTTATTAATTATACACAAATTATATACACCACATTTTGAAAATCATAGCTATAAAGCAATATTCTCCAAAAATCTTATTATACATCTTAACAACCAAATCCTTTTGGGTTTGAGTATACACCTCCAATATGTATTTATTTATTTATAATATATATTGTTATATATAGTATATATACACTTTTGTACAAATACAAATATTATATTAAAAGTATAAAATGGAAATTATAAAAGATGAGAAAATAGCCTAGTGATATTTCACTATTTACTTCTGCTCAACCAAAACATCAAGTAAAACTTGCTTTTTAAGTTAGGAAAAGTATTAAGGAAAAAAAATGAGGAATAAGATCACAGAAATATCACTTTCAAGAAGACTTATACTGCCTCACGTTAAAAACAGAAATGGGAAACATTTAATCTCAGTATACTGAAGAAGCAACCTGGGAGCTTCAACAAAAGACATAATTCTGATCATCAAAAGGGAAGTGTGGGTGGTAAACAGGGCATACAAGCCACATGAGGAAGAGCCAATTATATTTTAGGGGTCTACAATAATCAAGGATGGTAAAATTAGGCATAGACGCACATGTATCACAGATCTTAACATGAAAAATAACATATAATATTAGAATGATGCCAGAGCTAGAGACTCCAAACAAGAACACAGCTGAAGTCATAGAAAAGGATGCACAGGTTAAAGGAGCTTGACTCCAGCAAAGAAACAAGGGAATGAAAAGATATCCATCCATATGTTTAGCTTCCCATTTAGGAAACATAATGAAATCTGTTTAATAGGAAAGCAAGTGTGTTAATCACTGTGATAAATGTCCGGGGACTACTGCATACTAAATGTGTGGTGAGGAGTACCAGCACCATGCCGGTGTTTCTAATGACCACGGAGAGGCACCATAATCTACAGTTAAATGACTGAACATCCCTGTAGGGCCATACTGAAGAATAAATGAAAACTTTAAACTTATTCCTCAACTTCCTCTACTCTGCCAAAGTCATCTCAGGTTTTCAAGTACACACCGAAGTTACGGAATGAGGAAAACTGAGTCAGCGTTTTTCAGTTTTCTTTCAAGGCAGCTTGTCACCCAAAAATATGGCATCCCCTATACACTCTCTGTAGCAGTGTCTAAGCCATAGATTTCTCTTACCAACTAAGTACTCATATGTCAGAATATGAGTAAAACCCCAGCACTTGGGAGGAAAAGGCAGACGAACTGGGATTATAGGCTCATCCACAGCTACACAGCAAGGGCAAGGTCAGTGTGGGTTACATGAGACCTCTGTTACATACTCTGCGTGTGCGTGTGCATGTGCGTGTGCGTGTGCGTGTGCGTGTGCGTGTGCGTGTGCGTGTGCGTGTGCGTGTGTGTTCGAGAAAGAGGCTCCATATGTACTTGGGGAATCTGGCATTTCTTTTTATAAATCTAGTAATTACAATCATGTGATTATGCTTGACAGTCACTTGGAAATCAAATTAATCTTTTGGCAACATTGATAGTTTTAAACTTTATACTGAAGATAAACAAATCCAACAAACCCAACAAATCATGAAAAATAATAATAATTTAAAAGCTCACCTTTCCACAACCAAACTGACAGTTTGAGTGAGATCTGGATTTGTTGCCTGAAGACGTTTCCACAGAGACCATACAAATTCTTTGTCAGCCTTAAAGAAATAGAAAGCATTTTAAGTGCATTGTTTTGTATTCATAAGAGATGTTATGCTATGTTAAATCTAAATATGAAAAAATATTTTACCATTATGTCTACAATTATACCAATGAGTCCTTTTAAAATATAGCAGGAAGGGGCTGGGGCAACAGCAACATGGGTAAGAGTTCTTGATGCATTTTCTAGAGGACAGAGGCTCAATGCCCAGAACCCACATGCTGGCTTACAACCATCTGAAACTCCAGTCCCAGGACATCTTATGCCCACCGTTTGCTTCCTTGGACATTGTAGACATATGATACATGATACATGATGTGCATGCAGGCAAAGTACTCATACACACACAAAAAAATCGTTTTTAAAAAACTTTTAAAAGTGTGGTAGGAAAGCCTTAATTTAAAAATTCCTTACACTGATAGCCTACACTCTAATACTGATAGTGCTGCCACCCTACCCACGTTTTGTGGTGGAAATGCTGAAAATACAAAAATTAGTGTATATTTACTCTAAGAGAAAATTGCTCTTCATCTATTGTTCTGTCTTCCCTGGACTGCAAAACCCCACGAAAGAACTGACCACCCTTTCTGCCTCACTTCCCCATCTTATTTATTCTACAGTGTCTTCCAAGAAGATTTCCTTAACAGGGAAAAATACTCCTTGTGTAGAAGCTATAGACAGTTGATGGCTTCTGGGGGAGGAAAGTCAGTTTTCTTTAAGCAAGTAACCCTTGGAAGGTCAACAATGCCCCAGTGGACAGGCTCACATACAGGAGTCAGCATGGTTGGACTGAATGTGTTATTGAGAGCAAAAGACAGAGAAAAAGACAGACAGACAGACAGACAGACAGACAGACAATGTGAATATGAATGAGGCATGTTCTTGCTACAATATGTGTATGAAAGGCAAGGCAAGAACAATTTCTGGGAGTTGGGATCTGGAAATCAAGCAGCGCCCTTGCCCACTAAGTCATCTTGCCAGCTCTCCTAGTTTGCTTTCTATTGCTGTGGTAAAGACACCATAACCAAAAGCAACTTTGGGGAGTAAATTATTTATTTGGCTTGTATGTATGACCACAGTCCATCACTAAAGGTAAGCAAGGCAGGAATATAAGCAGGGCAGGAACCTGGAGGCTGGAACTGAAGCAGAAGTCACCTAGGTATGCTTGCTCAGCATGCTTTTCTATACAACCCAAGAACACCAGCCTGAGGATGGTCTTTGTCACAGTGGGTTGGGACCTCCCAGATCAGGCATTAAGGAAGAACTTTACTCTATTAGACATAGCTTCTAGCTATGTGAGGACCATAACTACAAAATGCATTCTCAAGTCTTCCTGGTTTTTATTTGTAACTAGACAAGGCTTCAACAAAGCTAAATAAATAGTACTTATAAAATACAATTCTCTGATCAAATATTCTGATTCCCAATATCATATACTTTCAATAGGTTTATCATTAAATTTGGTAATGAACATATATGTCTGTCACTTAAAAGCCCTAAATAATTTTCATCCAAAACTGATTTATAGTTAATAAATGTTGGTTGCTACCACATACACACGCATATATTGTAAATCTAACATCTTTTTGTTTCATCTGCTTGTCTACAAATGATGATGAATGTCCATATACACTTACACTCCTGCATTCTGTCACAAAAGGATTTAGACTTGAAAGATGTCATAGCAACAAAAAGGAAGATAGAAGTAATCTCTAAAGAAATGAAATACAGGATAAAAACATCATTAAAATTCCTTGAAAACACCTTAGAATAATGCTACAGTTAGAAGCTACTCCTCCCCTCTGTAAACACAATAGGAAGCTTTTCACTCCATTCAATCAGCCTTCCCTTCAGCTGACTGTTACGTGCAGTTGCCTTCCTAACCTGGGGCCACATGCAAAAAAATGGTTAACTAGATAATACAATCAGGTGCTCTTATGAAGAGAAACATTGGTTTTCCACCATGTGACTTTCCTGAGGTGCTCCAAGAATAGTACATGGAATCACCCAACTTCTTCAACGATAATAATCAAATAAGTTGCATATTAGAGAAGAGAACTAGCATAAATCAAACACTACTCACGGCAGTACCCTCAGTAGCAAAGCTCTTTTTTCAAAGCTGCATGTTTGACCCTTACAGGCCTTAAAGATTATTTGAATCTCAGTAACAGTTTTTAAAGATACTTATGAGAGTTTATCACATTCTGTTATGGTAAGTAACCTCTCCTCAACTGCATATACCTATACAAGTCTTTTATACCTGTATACGTGTTCCATGTAAGGAGAGATATAAAATGAATTTTTTTATTTTAGGTTGCAATTTCTAACAACATATTGATACTATATATTCTCAGGTGCTGTGATTTGTGGGTGAATAATAAGTAGAATTCACATGAAAAATCTAAAAGTTTAACTTTGTTATGCAACAACTAGGAGTTTAATTATTTTCCCTTAGTCTCTCTGAGAGCAGGAACCTGGTTTGGCTATAATCTTGGTGATGAGGGATGCTGCCAACCTCCTTTCTTGGAATCTATCACTGAAATGTCTCTGATCATCTACTAATATTATCAAATTCCGAGAACTGCCATTCAAACCTACTAAGGACCATTTCCATCTCTTACATCTGTCTCAAGCATTGCCGCCATTTCCTAGTCTGGGAATGGCCAAGATCCCAAAGGCCAATGCCATACTGGAAGTTGCATCTTTAAGGTTATGAACATGGGAGTACAGAGAAAGTACAGGAAATGTGGGCAGGGTCTGAGATGATTACTTTAACAAAGCCTTCAGCATGGGCGCACATCTTTAAATTCCCCAAGGGTGAGGTTTACAGTGGACAAGTGAGGTTTAGTTCATCTCTGTCCTGTGGACATCCTTTAGCTGTTTTGCCAGCAAGTAGAAAATGAGACACTGAAAGGGGAGTGGTCAGATAATTGCTCCCTGATCTGCTTAACCAAAGATATATCCAAGTTAAGCAAGATCCTCTTGTCTTTACAGCAAAGACCTATAAAATGGAGCGAGAGACCCCAACAGAGCATACTATAAGAGAGTTTCAGGGGTTCATTCATCTAAAGTGATAATGCTGCTCGCAGAGCTGTCTCCAGTGTTGGCAGTTCCTGACTAGTGTCTCTTAAATACGGCGAATTTTTTTTCTTAAAGACTTGTAATTAATTGAATCAATTCTCAACATTTTTTATTTCCTAACCCTATATATGGTTAGGGCCAAATCTAAGGAGATGATGGTAAGAAGGTAAAATCAATAAATAAATAAATAAATAAATAAATACTCCCCTGCACTGAAGGACAGGCAAACTCACAGTACCATACACACAAACTCTCAAACTAATGGGGGAAGTAATGTGAGTGTAACTGCTCTAACAACTGCTTTTCTGTGCCAAGCTCACATTAAAGTATTTTGCATTCGTGGTTTATGGGATCACTCTAAGTTAATAAATGAATACGGAGCATCCAAAGTGTGAAGTCCCCGGTCCCAGGGCTTTCTAAAAACTGTAATTGTGTTTGGAACTTAAGTTTAACGAGGTAAGAACATGGATAAGTGTGGGTTTGAAATTTTAAAACGGGCTTCTTCCATCAGTGGGTTTTATTTTTCTGACACGGTCCTGTTTATTTTCAATTCATGAATGAACTCCACTCGTGGGCACTGGGTACCACTAGACAGCACCAGGAACTTGGGCTTTGAGGAAGGAGACTCTGGAGAGCATCAATGAAATCGAAAGCCGGGTCTGCAACAGGACAGTGGGCAGAGGCAGGGAGTGGAGCCTGGAGGGCGAGTCCCGGGAGGGCTCACTAGGTGCCCCGGGCCGCGAGCATGAGCTCCTGCAGCAGTGATGGGCGCGCTGCCCCCGGCCTGGGAGGCGGGCGGGAAGGCCGGCGGCCAGTCCTGATACCTGACACTGGGCCAGCTCCTCCTTTAGGCTGCTCAGCTCTTCCTCCAGCAGCTGCGATCGCGTCGCCTTCGCCTCCACCGAGGGGAGGCCCTCCGGCCACCAGGACCCCGCGGACGCGCTGGCGACAGGAGCGAGAGCGGCCCCGGCCCGTCCCGACCCTCGCCGGCTCCCTGACCCTTCTTCGCCCCTCCAGAGTAAGTCGCTTTTATCCGCGACGACCTCCCTCGCGGCGCCCGCCAGACCTGAGGACTCGCTGTGCACAGCGTGCACCTCGGCTCTGCGCCCGACGCGCAGAGACCGGCGGCTGGACCGCCGCACCGGGGGCGGAGGCGGCGAGGAAGACGGCGAGCGCGCCGCCATGGCCGCGGCGCCTAACGGGTCAAGTTCCCGCTTGAAAACTCCACCTTCCCTTCCCCATCCTGAAGAGCCTGGCCTCACAGCCTACGCATGCGCGGAGCTTTTCCCGCCTCGTCCCGCGTCCCGGGCTCGCTGGTCCCAGCAGGCTTCCCACGGGCTCTGATCTGAGCTGAACTGCGCGTGCGCGCCGGGCGGGCAGAGGCTCGACCAGCAAGTGCTCTGCTGGCGCCTCCACTGTCCCGAGTCCGCTGTCCCACCCTCCTAAAGCCCTAGCTCCACTGAGGGCCTACTTTACATTCCTGCTCTTAAAGCCTTCCTGACAAGCCCCCTGCCCCCAGTGATCCTGAACTGTGAATTCCTCCTCCTCCAAGGCTTCTGCCAACTCGTTTTTCACGTTTCATTGACCGCCCTCAAGTGTTAGTTACCGTGCTAATCTCTCCAACGCTGTTGTAAGCTCCTTGCGGATCAGGGAATAGGTTTTAGAGTTAAGTGTTTTCTTCACACCCCTTGGCAACGCTGGCTTACGTGCAGCTGACATCTAACCGACTGAAGTCAAGGAGACACGGAAAGCCTTGTGCTGAGCTGGGACTATCGAGCAGGCTTCCCACTTGAATTATGATCCTTCCTACACACTTTGTCTTTTGTTTTGCAAGAGTCATGGTTTCCTTTGAGTCTTTATGTCAATTTCTTTATCCCTTGGCTGGATATCAGAGCAAGTTTGTCCTACAAGGCCCAACAGCTTGGTGTCCTTGGACCATCTAAAGTCAGCAACGGAATGTGATGAAAGAAACGAGACTGACTCACTTTTTAGTCTCTGGTCTTTTCTTACTTGCTTTGCTATAAGCTTCAAAAGTGCAATAACCTTTCTTTATCCTTAAGACACTACCTCGATAGTGCTAAATTTAGCGAACGAATGCATGCTCAGCTGAGTTTCACAGAAAGATAGAATTACTTTTTTGTTGTTAGTGTTCCCCTCCTCTGGAAAAAAAAAGTTTACAGAATACTTGGAAGAGATTTGAGATAGGGACTGAGACACCCACCGTGAAGTTACCACTTTCATATCATCTTTACCAGAACTGAGTCGGCATGCCAGAAGACTGCCTCCATTCATCCTTCCCACATTGCAAAGGGTATGAGAGAATTACATGTTTATATTACATGCAGGGTTAGAGGCCATGGCTCAATAATTCCTCAGAGCCCACATGTGTTTTCCAAAGCCAGCCACCATGATGTTGGCAGACCTTTAATCCCAGAATTTAGGCGACAGAGATCAGATCCTGTGACTCTCTGGCCAGGCAGTCTAGCCAAATCTGCAAGGCACAAGTTCATTGAGAGGCCCTGTCTCAAAAACTGAGATGGAGAGTGACTGAAGGAGACACAGGGCCTCAGATCCCCACACACATAGGTACCTATACACACAAAAAAAGGAAAAGTACACATAAATTTGTCTTACAAATAGCTATCCTATTGAACATTCAACATTTGATGAGTCTAATTTTCAAATTAAGTTCACTTATCTTACGTTAAATTAAACAAATGTTCTTAACGGAATAGCCGATCCTCCGGCCTCTCATTGTGTTTCTGGAGATGTGTGATACTCTAGTGTGTGGATAATCCACATTTTCTTCATCTTCTCATCAGTCGGTGGGTGCTTACATTATCTCCATCTTTTACCTATCACGGATAAAACCGATGTAACATTTGTGTGTAGGATTTCCTTGGAAATGTTTAATTCTCTATGAGTGAAATCAGAAGAGCATTTAAAGACCCCCTGAGTTTTTAATACTTGTATGATTTTCCATTCCTGTCAACGGTGTATTAGGGCTTCAATTTCTCTCTATCTCTGTCAATATGTATATTTTGTTTTGTTTAAGTTATGGTTTTTATTCTCTTAACGCCCAAGCTACTGCTTATTATGTGTGTGTTGGCTTGGCTTGTTTTGTTGTTTGTCTGTTTCCTTTGACCAATGGCATTGAGTATCCCTGAATATGTTTGGACATTTGCTTATCTTCTTAGAATTATCTCTTCAAGACCTTGAGTTTTGTGTATTTCAATTTCTGAGTTTGTTGTTATCAATTGTTTTGTTTGGTTGTTTTCTTGAGATAGAGTCTCAGAATGTAGTTTAAAACTTACCATCCTCTGGCTTCAGATTCCCAAGAGTTGGGGTTGCAGGCCTGGGCCACCATGCCTGGCTATTTGACCATTTTTAATTAGAATGGCTTTGTTACTGTTGTTTGTAGAGCTGCTGTTCATTGCCAGAGTTCTTTACTGACATTTTTTTTGTTTGCCGGTTTGATTGTTTTTATTCACTTTACATCCCAATCTCTGCCCCTACTCTTTCTTGGTCACCCCTCCCACAATCCCTCTCCCACTTTTTTTCTGAGAGAGTGGAGCTCCTCCCTTAGTATCCTCCCACCCTGGCATGTCAAGGTTCTGAGCTAGGCACACCCTCTCCCACTGAGGCCAGACAAGGCAGCCCAGCTAGAAGAACATAACCCACATTCAGGCAACAGCTTTTGGAATAGCTCTGCTCTAGTTGGTCCAGACCTACATGAAAACCAAGCTGAACATCTGGTTGTCTGTGTGTGTGTGGTGAGGGGAGGAGGGAGGGGTGAAAGGGTAAGTAATTCCAGCCTGTATATGCTCTTTGGTTGGCAATTCAATCTCTTAGAGACCCAAGGGCCCAGGTTAGTTGACTCTGTTGTTATTCCTGTGGAGTTCCTATCTCCTTTGGTGTGCTCAATCCTTCCCACAACTCTTCCATAAGAGTCCCCAAGTTCCATTCACTGTTTGGCTGTGGGTGTCTACATCCGTCTAAGTCAGCTGCTAGGTGGAGCCTCTCAGAGGACAATCATGCTAGACTCCTATCTACAAGCATAACAGAGTATCATTTATAGCATCAGGGATTGGAGCTTGCCCTAGGGATGGGTCTCTAGTGAGCTGGTTATTGCTTGGCCATCCCTTCAGCCTCTGCTCCATCCCCTGTCCCTGAATTTCTTATTGACAGAATAGAGTTTAGGTCAAAAGTTTTATTGGCAGGTTGGTGTCCCTATCGCTCCACTGAAGTTCTTGTCTGACTACAGGGGGTAGTCAAGACTACTAACATTGGGGATGTTCCATCATCCCCAGTGCTGTGAACCACAGCTAAGGTTACCTACATTGATTCTTGGATGCCTCCTTTATCCTATGTCTCTGACTTGTCTTCAAGATGTTCAAGATGCCTTCCTCCTCCCCACCAGTTGCAGATTTCCATTCATTCTCATGGCCATCCCCTCTCCCACCTAGTTCCCTCCCTCTATCTGCCTCCAGGATTATTTTATTTCACCTTCTAAGTAAGAGTCAAGCATCCTCACTTGGACTTTCCTTCAGTTTTTTAAAGGGAGTCAGACATATTTTTAGAAATGTTTACTTTCTTGTATTGGTTATTTACTGAAACAAAGGAAATATATAAAATATTCAATATTTGCACATGTATCTCAGAAATACATGTTAAAAAGCTGTCCTATTGCCTGATTTAAAAATGGCCAAAGCAGTCTACAGTGTTTTCTTCTCAATTATGAGTTTAAACAATTGAAAGTGGTGCTATCTACTCTCCATCACAATAATTCTATTGATTATAAAGTACATCAGATTAGAGAGATACATAATTCTCTTCGCCATTGCCACAAGACAGCTGAAATGCTCGAAGAAAGTAAAGATTTGAACAGTTTCTATTGCTTTCTTTTTAAACTTTTAGCTTACCAATTTACTGTCATCTTTATTTGATCAGGAAAATTTAACTTAATCTTCTATAAGATATATCATTTTTTAGCTAGGGTATTATTATGTAGTTCTGGCTACTCTAGAATTCACTATGTAGACCAGGCTACCTTTGAGTTTATAGATATTAGTCTTTCTTTACCTCTGAAATGTTCAGATTAAAGCTATGCCCCACTACACCAAGCTAAATTTTCCTTAATATTTTTAGTATTTGTCAGTTCTTTCATGATACATGGAATAGTAAACCATGGCCTTGGGTACTATAACTGAATAGTCTTTGCATCTATGGAAATACTGTAAAAATACTCCAATTCTTTGGTCTATATGACTTCCCTGGTTTTACCCAAAACATTAAAGCCTTTCTCCATCATGTCAGTTCTGGTTTGATATTTCTTTCTCAGTGGTGTTTATCTATTCTACAAACATAATAGAGACTCCCATCCTAACACTAACACACACACACACACACACACACACACTTGTCTGTTTGAAAGTGAGTATGGAGGATACTAAGTAATTAATATACCTTTGCACAAAGAAGGGAGTTTCTATAGCAGAGTGATAGAACTATTACCTACACCCACAGAACAACTGAGAACCAAATCTTCAACACATAGACCCATTCACAGTCAAACCATACTGTTTTCTCCTGGTGCTCAAATGCTTATGACCATCTCATAATGCAAAATTCATTCACTCCCTGCCCAAGAGTCTTCTTAAGTCTTGTTTCTAGCATTGTAAAAAAAAAAAAAAATCAAACAAAGCAAACAGTAAAAACTGAAAATCTTCTGTGAGGAGCTTGAGCTTTTTTTTGCTATGAATCCCTGTAAAATACAAGGCAATGTCATTGACAGATAATAAATATTCCACTGGTTTAGGGGTTCAGCTCATGGTTTTGCAGCATGCATTTGGAAGCCTGAAGAGTCCGAGTCCTGGTGATGGCACAAGCAGAAGCATTTGCCAGTGGAAACGAAAGGTTAGATGAACTCACCAATCAGATGTACACCAAGCAGATGGAAAGCAAAACTCGTTTTCCTCGGGCCCCTTTAATCTGGGCTGCTACCTGAAAGTGCTACCCGTGTGGGTACCGAGTGTTCGGGACAGGTCTTTCCATTTCAGTGAACTTAACATGGAAGGCTATCACAGGTGCTCGAAGATTGACTTCCACTTGATTTCATAGCCAATCAAGTAGGCAAACAAGGTCAACCACCACAGCCCCGGGGAACAAGTCTTGTGACGTACAA